GCTGCCCCTGCAGTTGGTCAGGGGAGTAGCTCTGACATGTGGCTAGGCCAGGAGGCGGTGGGCCGCTGGGAGGCTGGGGGGGACCCCCTGAGTAGCTGGGGCCTTTGCTCAAGTCCTGTGCCTGACCCCCTCCAAAGCCCTGCCCATAGGCCTGGGGTCCCAGGAGCCCTTGGGGCTGACCAGGGGAATAGGCCTGACCCCCAGCCCCTCCAGCTCCAGAGGCCTTCCCCGTGGCATATGCTGCCGCTGGCCCCCCCAGGCTCTGGCATTTGGGTGTGGCAGTCGAGCGGGGTGGTGGGGGCCTGGTGGCACCCCCTGTAGTGGCTCCATAACCACCTTTGCCTGTCTTATAACCAGGCGACTGAATGATGGGGCGGTAGCCTCCACCCCCACCCCCAGCCCCACCTCCCCCAGCCACCTCTGGGCCAGTGGCCCGGCCTGACGCTCCAGCCGTGGCTCCACTGGGACCGGCCTTGCTGGGTTCACCAGCACCCGGGGAGGGCTCGCCACCACCTAGGGGGCTGCAGGCCAAGTTGGCCCGATGGCCCATGGAGGGGTAGCTGCCTCCACAGCTCAGGTAATGCTGGAGGGCATGGGCTGGTGGTGGGGGTGGTGGAGGCTGGGCACTGGCTGGCCGCTGGTAGTGTTTGATGACAGTGTCCTGGCGGGGCAGGGCCCGCTCGGGTGGCGGCGGGCCCGGGGCAGCACCAGAGAAGTTGTAGAGCTGTGGGGAAGACTGTTCAGCGGCGGCAGCGGCGGCGGCGGCGGAAGAAGAAGCCAGCAGATTGAACTGAGTTGGGAGGTGCCGGGGAGGTGGGGGCGGATCTGGGGGGCCAGGGCGGTAAGGGGGCGTCTGGGCTGGTCCAAGGCCCGCAGGCCCCAGGACGCCACCCCCCGCCAGGCGCTCAAAGCCCAACGAGGAGGGCACTGTGGGTGCCTGTGAGGGCTTCAGGTGCAGCACGTCGTGAGGGGACAGGAGCCCATTAGCTGGAGGGCTGAATGGGGGGTCCTGGAGGCTGAGGGATGAGGGTACTGGGAAGGGGCGGCTGCCGAAGGAAGCTGGGTGCTGGTAGGCCGACAGGGCAGAGGAGGACGGGAAGGTGCTGGAACCCGGGAGGGCACCCGAGATGAAGAGCTCCGTGGGGCCTGGAGTGTGCATGGCTGGGGATGACGGAGACGAGGTCAGAGCTGCCCAGGCGCCAGCCCCACCCTCACCCGCCCGGGCCGGCACTGGGCTTACCTGTCTGCCAGGAAGGACTGCGGAACTGGGACAAGAGAGAGGAGGCAGAAGGGCCAGGCTGGGGGCCCCGGGACTCCAGGGCTGAGATGAGGTTCATGACGGAGGCGTCGGGCCCTGCTGAGCCGGCGTGGTGGAGGCCAGTGTCAAAGAGTCCAGAGAGGCCTGGCCAGGGACAGGGGACAGAGTCAGCAGGTGAGGGGCAGGGCAGACTGAGAGAAAGGGAAGAGGTCAAACCAAGCAGAATCAGAGACAGAGGCTATAGAGAACAGAAAGGGTCGATTCGCAGAGGAAAAAACAGGCAGAACCAGGCTGAGACCAGGCCTGGCGGAGGGAAGGGAGAAGGTGACATGGTACAGCAAGGTGGGGTATGGTCCATGCTTAAGGGCAGAGAGCCCTGACGGAAAATGTAGCCAGAAGAACAGAAAAGATGGAGCATGCCTGCCATCTGAAGACCTGGGAGGCCAAGGCAAGAGCATTGCCCATTCAAGGCCAGCCTGGGCAAGCTAACAAGTTTAAGGCCAGCCTGGACTGCACAGTGAGGCCCTGTCTCAAAAAGCAAAAAGCCAGCTGGGTGTGGTGGTGCATGCCTGAAATCCCAGCACTCAGGAGACAGAGGCGGGAGAATTGCTGTGAGTTTGGAGCCAGCCTGAACTACACAGTGAGACTCCGTCTCAATAAAAAAAAAAAAGTAGAAAAAAATTCAGAAGGGACAGAATCCTCAATTAGGCTTTGGGGTGGAAGAGAAGGCCAGAGGATTTGGGAAATTCCAGCAAGGAAGGGAAAGGAGGAGTTAGGGCAACTGGAGTCTCAAAAGGACCCTCCCACAAGTCAAAAGGGTTAAACCAAGGTGGAGGATCCTGCAAAAAAAGATGGCAGGGAAACAGGGGAGAGGCCAGTCAGGAGGGCCAAGTGTCAAACTGGACAGGACAGTCTCAGCATCGCTGGTACATGTGGGACCCAGGCTGTGTGTCAGGGTCGAAGGGAACCAATCAGAACGAGCGGGAGGCTGGGCCAAAGGGGCCAAATAAGGTTGTGGGCAAACCTAAGAAAAAAAGGGAGGGCCAAATTAGAGCCAATCGGGAAGAAAGAGAATCAGAAAGAAAGAATCCAGAGGGCAAAGGAGTCAAGAGAATGGGACTAACTCGGAGAGAAGGTACTGGAGTGGCTGGAGAGAGCCCGAAAGGCCTGGAAGAGAAGGTGGGATTTGGGGGGATGATGGGATGGGGCCAATTGGAGCAAAAGGGGCGGGGCAGGGAGGCGGCTGACGAATCCGGCGTGAAATTAAGCTGCAAGCAGCAACCAATCAGAGGAGAGACAGTAAGAGGCGGGCCACGACACCGGGCACGACCAATTAGCAGGGGCGGAACTTTCAGCAGCCAACCAGCTGCCGGGGAGGGCGGGCCGAGGCTAAACCGGGCGGGATGGGGGCCGTACCTGCCGGGTGGTGGTTGGTGGCATAGCTTTGCAGTGGGTGGGGGGCCGCGTAGGCCTGTCGGTGTAAAATGTCCGTCTCGGGGTGCGAGGTCCTGGAGCTGCCATAGACCAAGCTGGGAGCAAAGGGGAGATATTAGAATGTCCTCTCAAACTGCCCTCCGTGAGGGGAGCTCAGGAAATCCCCTAAGAGTTTGGGGGGCTTCCAGCTGATTTAGGGGGTTATCCCAAGGAGCCTTGGGCTCTTAAGGGGGAAATGACAAGGCAATGGGATGCCTAAGTGCCATAGAAACGGCCCCCACTGCAGAGCCCCAGTAAATAGAGTCCAGATAGTTTCACGTTTACAAATACCGGCAAGCAACCAGAAACAGCAGCAGAGGGTGCAAACCAATTCGGAGGAAGTGTCCTGGAGTTGAAAATACGAAAGGCGTGGTCCTCCTACCGTCCCTCCACCGCCCTGAGTAGTGGTGACACAGACCAAAGGGTGCACCCCAGACGTGCACAAGGGTACCTGTCGCCGGATCCGGGCAGGCCCTGAACCTCAGGGGACAGTGCAAACCTAGCCAGGGGGCCGGAGGTAGATTGTTCTCCCCAGAGGAGGGGGAGGGCGGAGGACCGGGGAAAGTACCAGGTACAAGTGTGAACATGAATCCGGTCCATCCCCAGGGGCTGAGGCTCCCATGCACGGGCCCAAGCAAAGCCAGGTACGTGTGTACACGGGCATTCAGCTGGCCCGTGGGGAAGAAAAGGCTCAGAGAGAGGAGTCCCACACGAAAAATCCCTACACGCTGGGATGCCGAGTGGGGGAGGGGTCGGGGGCAGGTGAGGCGTGAGGGCAACACTGGAAAGCGGCAGACGCACGGGGGGAACACGCAGCCAACCACGCACGCACCGGGCCCACGTTCACACACACACCCCCAGGAAGAAACATCCGATTCTCCGCATGCAACGGCCCAAATCCGTGGCCGAGACTCAGAGGGTACTCGCTCTTGGACGTCAAATAGGGTTCTGCCTTTGGGGGTGGGGGAGCTCAAGGGGGCGTGTCCCAGATGCTAGACCCCCCCCATTACACACGGAACCCAAGCCTAAGGGGGCGGGGCCCCGTGCCCACTCTACGCGCGGAATTTCTTGGGGGGCCAAGTGGCCCATCCTCGCGCAATCCCGGAACAATAGGACTTGGGAGGGGGTGCGCGCCCCCCAGGTCTGCGCTCCAGTTCTCCTTTCCTTCCATCTTTGCAAGAGCAAAGCCAGAGGCGCTGGGGGGAGGGTTCGGCAAGCCGGGAATCCAAGGATGCGGGGAAGTCCAGGCCTTGCTTCGCCAGTCCCTCCCACCTTCCCAAGGCCTTCCCGTCCGAAATTGTTTTGCACCCATATTTTCCCGCTGCATTTCTCCCTTTGCAAGCCGGAGCTGGCTTTGGCGGAGTTTGCAATTTGCAAACTGGGGCGGCGGCGTTGTTACAAACCGAAGAAGGCCGCTCCCTTGCAAGCCGGAGGGGAGTTTGCGATGCACGCGTCGCCGGGCGGGCCGGGCCCGGCCCAGCCGGGCCCCCACCCCTTGGCCTCTTTCTCCAGGCCACCCTCAGCTCCTTACCTAGCTTTCGCGGACCTCTCGTAACTCCATCCCGCCCCGGCGCCGAGCGGGTCCCCGAAGCCGGCGCTGGGGTAGTTCCTGTCCATGAATTGGCCGCGGTGGAAATTGGGGGGAGGGGGAGGGGGAGGGAGGGGGAAAGGAGGGGGCGCGCGCGCGCTCTCCTCCGCCGCCGCTCCCTCCGCTGCTTTATTTTCCCCCCCTTTTCTCTCTTTTTTTTCTTTGCAGCCTCCGAAGGCCCGGGAAGGTCCGGGGCGGGGGAGGGAGGGGGCAGGGGCGGAGGGGCGGGCAAAGGAGGGGGGTGCAGCTGCTGAACCAAGAAGGGGGGAAGGGGGGTTCCCCCGGAGGAGGGAAAGGGGGGAGGAGGGACCCCGCTGTCTCCGCCTTTGCCCCGGCGCTTGCAAGAGAGAAGGGGGGGCGCGCGCTCGGGAGGGGGCGTCCCGGGCGGCCCCGGGGTGGGTGCAGGCGCTGGGTGCTCGCTCTCTCGCCGCCGCCGCCGCCGCCTCCTCCTCCTCTGCGCTCACGGTGCAGCCATCTTTGCACAAGGCGGCTGGGGAGGGGGGAGGGGAAGGGGGGCGGGCGGCGGGGTGTCTGGCTGCGCTCCGCTTCCTCCCACAATCCCGTGCAAATGTAAAAAAAAAAAAAGAGAGAGACTGAGCTCTAGCAGAGCCTGGGGGTGTAGGGCACAGCGCTTGTACAGAAAACCAGCTTGGCCGCGAGCAGATGCGCTAGAGAACGCGGTTCAATTCATTAGATTTTTATTTATTTTTGCATTGTTTCGGCCTTTTTGTTGGGGGAGGAGTTTCCTTTCCAAAGGGTTTTTATCTGGAACAGCTCAACTCCGGTTCCCCGGGTACAGCCTGAGCACCTGCCCTCTCCAGCACACTTGCAAATACGCCCCCCACCCTTCCCCTGGGTTATGAAGGGCCCCTGTGCGCGCACAGGGGCTAGAGGAAGACACGCGTGTGCACGGGCGGGGCTCTCCGCGTGTACGTGCCCCGTGGCACCGGAGGGCGATGGTCGAGTCACATCTGGCCATACGCAAGTCGGCTCGCCCGACCTGCACGCATACCTATCCTGAGGACCGGACTGGTCGGTGTCCCCCCAGTTGGGAGGGGGCGCGCGAGGGGCAGGCACCCGGGTTCTGCAACACGTAGATGCGTGTGTCCGTACGCGGCGGAAACACGTGTGCCAGGGTAGGCCTCGGGTGGGACGACCCCTGATCTTCCCCCACCCCCAGCTCAGCTCGGGACTTTTAAGAGGCCTGGGGGCTTCCGGAATCCGTTGTGAATCGGGGGCACGGTTCGGGGAGCCCGGCTCAGCGGCAGCTCTTCACTGAGGCCTCCTGAGGCTACAAGGGGAGGAGCACAGTAGGGAGTCAAAGATCTGGCTGGCCCCCCCACCAGGACTGTGCCTCAGCCAATCCCGGACCTTCTGGGTACAAGCCCCACCCTTCTGTATACTTGCAATACTCCACTCTCCCAAGGCTGGGCCACGCCCCTGTAGACAGTTGCACAGGGCCCCGCCCCCGCACTTCAAGCCCTGCCCCCAGGTTATCCAAGTCCCGCCCCAGATCTCGTCCCTCCCCCTTTACCCCGGTCCGGGGCAGCAGCTCCGCCCCTACCTTGAGTAAGGGGGTGGAGGTGCGTCGTGCACCCCAGAGGCCGCCAGCGCCTGCTCGTAGGTCGGGAGGCCTGGGGGTCGGGAAGTAGGCAGGGGCGTCGGAGGGCTCAGAGGGCTGATGAGGCTGCTCCTAGAGACAGAAACGATTGGCTGGGGGAGGGCGTCAGGCTAGAGATGGACAGTAGAGAGGACAGAGACGAGGAGATACCGATGAGAGTGGCAGGTCCTAGAGATGCAAGAGAAACAGACCACAGGAAAGGAGGGTCACCTTCAGCCTAGCCCTATATGGCAGAAAAAGTGCCTGAAAGTACAGCGTACATGGCAGGCAGACGCAGAAAGGAGTATAGGTCTGTAATCCCAGCATTAGGGGAAGCCAAAGAGGAGCCTCAAGTTAAAGGCCAGCCTGGGCTACAAGGAGTTCAAGGTCGCACGGACTACACGTCAAGACGCTGTTCTTAAAAAAGGAAAGAATAAAACCACCTGAGCATCGTAGTATACACCTGCAATCCAGCATTCTAGGAGGCTCAGGCAGGAGGATTGCAAGTTCAAGCCCATCTTAGGCAATTTGGCAACTTTGTAAGACCTTGTCTCAAAATAAAAAGGCTAGGGATGTGAAGGCCCTGGGTTCAATCCCCAGTACAAAAAAAGAAAAAGGACCCACAGAGAAAGCCATTCATTCACAGATCTACTAGATGACAGGCAGACAAGCAGCCCTGCAGACAGGAAGGTAGACAGACACACAGACAGATGACACATACAACTCTGCAGAGCCATACAGACAGGAGCACAACAGAAGGATACTAGGTCACACTCATCCTGTAAAGAAAACCCAGACCGACTATACTTTGACACTCAGACCCCCTTTGAGACCCTGCCGGTGAGAGACACACCTGGACCACTCAGGGCACACATAAACACGTGGTGCCGCCGTCACCATGGAAACTGACCGGCCACTGGCAGCTGTGGACCACAGGCTGCTCAGTAACAGCCCCGACACAGACACAGTATCCTGAGCAGTGTTCTGGGCACCCGGAAGCCCAAAGGCAGGCAGGCAGCAAATGCTGCTAGATCGCCTACTGCGTGCTGGACAGACAGCTGCACAGCCAGCCACCAGCAAGCTCACAGACTCACTCCCCACATGCCTGTCTTTGGAGCGTTCCTCGTGCCCTCTAACCCCCCATCCTCAGCCCTAGATCAAACCTTCCTCCCTCCAGACCCCCTTACTCTTGGGGACTCAGCTGCTGGCCTGGGGTGTGGTGCCGCCGATAATGTAGATACCAGAAGGCTCCCAGGCTGACCAACACGATGAGCAGGATGCCAGATGTCAGCCCCACAGCCAGGGCTGCTCCGTCCACTCGTCTCTGCCCTGTGCGGAAAGGGAGCGGCTATCTCAGGGGCTGCCGGACCCCAGCATCCAAATTCCACACACCCCCAGAGCTGGGACCCTTCCTGCTCCCATGACCTCAGGCAATTCTAGCGCATAAAGGAACTGCAATAACTTAATCTTGAACTAAGAAATAGGGGAGCTGTAGCCCCATGACAACGCAGGCAGGCCCTGTGCTGACGTGGGATGGTTCTAGTCCCCATGAGTCAGGGGTACAGCCTCTAAGTGATCTATCTACGAAGCTAGTGCTTGACACACTGAAGGCAGGGTGGGGTGCTGGGGTGGCTGCTGGCTGCAAGAGGCCCCTAACCCAGGCACAGTGGCACGTGCCTGTAATCCCAGCATTGTGGGAGGCCGCGGCAGGTGGGTCACAAGTTCAAGTCCAGCCTGGGCAACTTAGCAATTTAGTGGAACCCTGTCTCAAAATAAAAAAGGCTGGGGGTGTGTTATGGTTGATACATTGTGTCAACTTGGGGAGTCTAGAGGTTTGGCTAAGTGACTTAGCAGGAAGCCAGAGTGCTTACTTTGTATACATCCTGAGCCTGTGGAAGAGGAGGGCAAAGATTATGTGAGAGCTACACGTCCCTTAGGTGGGGGTAGCCTGTTTACAAAGTAAGGCAGGGAAAGAGGCTGCTTGCCGCCATTCCTCCTTTTGCTCTGGCTGCTTGCTGTTCGGCTGCCATTCCCCCCTTTGCTCTTGTTGCTTTGCTGTCTTCTGCCTCCGAGCCAGCCAAGTATGCACTGAAACCTCCACAAACTGTAAGCTAAATAAACCTTTCCTTCCTTCATTTCGGGTGTTGGGTATTTTGTCTCAGCAAGGAGAGAAAAGTAACCAAGACAGGGTGCAGGTCAGTGCTAAAGACCCTGGGTTCAATCTTCAGTGCCACAAAAGGAAACAAAGAGGCTCCTACACTGAGCATTGTCAGATGTAACCAGTAATAACAGGGCATCCAGTTAAATGATGTTCAGAGGCCGGGCGTGGTGGCGCACACCTGTAATCCCAGCACTTGGGAGGCTGAAGCAAGAGGATTGCTGTGAGTTCAAGGCCAGCCTGGGGTACAAAGTGAGTTTAAGTTCAGCCTGAACTGCATAGTGAGACCCTGTCTCAAAATGACCAAAAAAAAAAAAAAAAAAGACGTTCAGATACACAACAATTATTTATGTATTGATTATTTGTCTATTGGTACTAGAGATTGAAGCCAAGGCCTTCGTACTGGGCTACATCCCTAGCCTTTTATTTATTTAATAATCTATTTATTTATTTTTGAGAAAACTAAAACAATAACACCACTTAGTTGTCCAGGCTGGGGTTGAACTTGTTATCCTCCTGCCTCAGCCTCCCAGGGTGCTGGAATTACAGCCATGTGCCTAGCAACAACAAGTACACTTTAACATAAGTATATCCCTTGAAGCATTTGGAATATATCTATACTTTAAATTTTTTTCATTGTGCTTCTGAAATTTAAATTTACCCAGTGAGGGAGGGGGCATAAAGGGAGCCAAGGTTCCAGTGTTTTATCTGGCATCTCCACCTGCTCTGGAATGCAACCCCTTCTTCTGATTAGGCAACTGAAGGACAAGGCCTTAACTCTAATCTATAATCACAATCTACAGGAAAGCTTTGGAAAAAAGTCACCTAACCACAGAGGAATCTAGGGACACACCCCTCAAATGATTGTACGTCTGGAACTCAAGTGGCCTGTTGCTAAGATGTGAACCCCTTTAGCATTCCAAGGGCACACAGGGAGACCTCAGGCTATCTAGAATTTGCTGCTGGAGATACTTTTTTTCCCCCCCGGGGTTTAGGGATTGAACTCAGGGTCTTTCCACTGAGCTACTTTCCCCATTCTTTCTTTCTTATCTTTTTTTTTTTTGGTACCAGGAATCGAACACAGGACCTCACATTTGCCAGGCAGGCGCTGTGCTGTGCTCCCCGTTTTTTTTTTTTTTTTTTTTTCTTTTTGAGACAGGGTCTCACTAGGCAGTTCAGGCTGACCTTGAGCTCACTTTGTAGCCAGGCTAGGTCTTGAACTCGCAACGATCCTCCTGCCTCAGCCTCCCGAGTGCTGGGATTACAGGTGTGCGCCACCACACCTGGCTCCCCATTCTTCTTTTATTTTTATTTTTTTGGTTTACTTTGAGACACAGTCTTGCTAAATTGCTAAATTGCCCACAGGCTAGGCTCCAACATGCCATCTTTCTGCCTCGGCCTCCCAGAGTGCTGAGATTATAAGAATGTGTCACCATGCCCAGCTTGGGGACATTTCTTTTGGCACTGGATGGAGAGCATCCCTCAAACAGTAAACCCTGGAATTTTTACCCATTTTAGGGAAAACCTGCGCTGAGGAGGCAAGTTGTCCAGATTCATGGACTGAAGAAGCCATAGGACTCGCTAGGCCTGTAGTAAAGGAACTGCCTCCCCTTAGCAACCAGGCTCCAATGTGAGGACTCCAGCCCAGTCCTAGGGCCTGTTGCTAAGGTGCATCCACCCCTAGCAACCAGGCCATGAGGGGGTGGGGCATCTGGTGCCCAGAGGGGGGTCCTCCAGCGGGTAAGAAGCCCTGGCTACTCCAACTAGGTGCAGTTGCTAGGGAGAAGGCCTCCTTAGCAACTAGGCTGCTGCAACTGGGATAGGGTTGTGGGGGAGGGAAAGACAGCCAGGTAGCGCTTGGGGCTTCCTCAGGCTGGCCTGGCCAGACCCCGTTGCTAAGGAGCAGCCCCCCTTAGCAACAAGGCTGCAGTCAAGATGAAGCCTCAGAATTGAGAGGAGGGGCTGGGGATTGGCAAAGCGGCAGGGAGGACAGGCCAGGTGAGGATGGCTAAGCTTCTGGCCCTGGCTCCAGAAGGGAGAATATGCTCCGAAGGGGCGGGGGTCTGGATCCCTAAGAAGGACTCAGCTCAGCCCTCAGCTGGGTCTTGCGGCTCTAACCCTCCCTCCGGGGCACTGCTCCCTTTCTAGGGACGCAGGGCCTTCTCCAATTGCGAATGCAGGGAGATGAGTTTCTCAGAAGTGTTCTAGGTTCTACTGTCAAAGGAGGGGACCCCTTAATGGTCATCTACAGGGAGCATGAACTGGGGGTCAGGCAAGCCTTGGGTCTAATTTTTGGGGGGACATTGCTTCAGCCTCCGTGGGGACTGGTGATCATCACTGCACAGCACAAGGGGGTGTGAGCCCCACTCACCTCCTTTGCCATTGTAGGGGTAGGTCTCCCAGAAGCGCTTCTGGAAAGGCCGAAGGGGAAGAGAAGAGGAAAGGCAGCAGTTCAGTGGGGAGATTCGCAACCCTCAAAAGCAGCCCATCCTGACCTCTGAGTCCCCAGAGGGAAAGGAGCTGAGGGCCAGGGTTCCCGTCCCAGTGCCTGGAGAGGACGGAGGGTGCCAGGCTTCAGGGCCCCCCAGCCTTCACCGTCAGGATGTTGTCCTCAAAGTATTCCCTGGCTTCCTCCCAGGAACACTGCTCCTCGATGCACTCCCGCTCCAGGTTCCCTGGCGTGAACAGCTCCAGGTCCCAGTGATTGGCTCGGGGAACCCGCCTGTGGCTCATCAGGAACCTCTGGGCCTCTGAGGGGCCAAGAAAGACTTCTGGGCCTAAAGACGCGAAGGCAGAAAAACAGAAGGTCCCTAGGCCTGGGGACAGAAGGGGATGGAGATCTAGGGGGTCCCCTGAGAAAAAGGTCTGGACTCCTGGTCTGAGGGGGGGGGGGGCTTGGACCCCTCGGGAGAAGGGGACATAGAAAGGCAGAGGCTAAGCCTCTGGTTACCAGTCGCTTCCTGCCAACCTACCTTGGTCTTGCTCTCCACTGTGAGAGGTGTCCAGACAGGTGGCCAACCCCATATAGAGCAGCAGCAGGGAAGGGTGGCCCCTCATAATTTGTAGACACCTGAAACCAGGTGCAGTGTAGGTGACTGGTGCCTCAGCCCCTGGGGAGTAAGGCAAAGGGTCACGGCTTGGGCTCTGCTCCTTTCCACTTTCTCAGCAGATCTATTGTGCCCATTTTACAGATGAGGAAACCGAAGCCAAAGGAGGTGAAATAACTGGCCTATGGACACAGTTTGCAAATAGCAGAGCCAGGATTTGAGGGAAGGCAGTGTTTTCAGAGAGGAGCCAGAGAGCGCGATGTAGCTTTTCCTTCCTGTGCAACACCCAACAGGGTTGGTGCGCAGTAGGTGCTCGGACACAGTTCCCTTGATAGCCGGGATTCCTTCCGCCTCCCTGGCAACTTCCACTTAGCCTCTCCCTGCCCATTGCTACATCCACCCACAGAGATCAAAGATCACAGGCAAAGCAAGGTCCTGTATTTTTGGGTCTGAAACTATGCCGGCACAGCAGCCTTGATCTCCTGGGACGAGGGACCCCAAGCTTATGGGTCTTAGAAGGGTGGGACTCAGTGTGGCAGGGTCCCCAAGCCAGGCTGTGTCTTCAGGGACACGCACTTACCTGGCCAGATACGTGAACACTGCTCTTCCTCTTTAACTGGGACCTCCTCGGCCAGCAGCAGCCAGCTGTGAGAGGGGAAGGGAGAGAGGAGGGGAGGGAGGAAGGGTCCTCAGCTCCCGTGGTAACCGAGCCAGAGCCCGGTTTCTGGTAGTGGGGCGGGGCTTGCATTACCTGCCCTGGGCGGGACTCAGGTGAGGGACAAATCTTTTAAAGGGACCTTAGGAGGAAGGTGCTAAGAGCCAGAGCTCCTTAGAGAAGCCGGGGTGTCTGCCACTGTAGGGAGCTTAGGCGACTGGATTTACACTTTTTCCTCCTTCTTCCCTCCATCTCCCAGGCCTGTCCACCCACTGGGAGCTGGCTTGGCCAGCTAGGAAAATAAATGCCTGAGACTCTAGATATCTAGAAACTGGCAGAAACGGTAGGCCTTGGTCCCTGCGATAGCCTTAATAAATCCCTGCTTCCTAACAGCGGCTTAAACGGCTCTGGATTTCGATTTCTCTGTTCCTCTATCTATAAAGTGGGGATAGAAAAGTTCTCGCTTCTTAATAATCCCCTAAGATGCAGCGTGAAAAAAAATAGATAATATATTTGGAGCAATAGGCATCCCGACCTCTGGCGTAGTTTTGTTCTTAAACCTGGGTGTGGAAGGCCCAAAGCCTGGGAATGGAGCGGGAAATCTGCGCTGGGAAATGCTCGTACTAGGCAACCCCTGTACTCGTGCCAGCTTCATTAACCGGAACCTTCTAGTTGCAACTCACGTTTCCGGAGGGAGGAAGAAAAGAAGAAAGGACTTACCAAGGCACCTCGGCAACTAGGGGCAGATTTATTTCCGGTCTCTACTGTCAGGCGGAAGGAGGCGGAGCGGAAGAGAAAAGCAGCACTCCTTTCCGGTGTATTGGCACAGTTAAAGCGAAGAGCGAACGAGGAGGCCTTTGTGAGGTGAGTTCCAGGAGGTGAGGGGATGGTATGGCTGAGGTCCAGTCCTGCAGGGTAGAGCTCTGGGGTCCCAAGTGGAACTGGGACTAGCTTTCGGATTCCCGGCTCCCTGTAAATCATTAATTGAGCTTTCCGGCCTCGCCAAGTTAGAGGGTAAACTACATCTCCCAGCATGCCCTGGAAGTAGCCCGCCCTGGGTCTGTCAGTTCTTTGCGGAAAGTAGTTCGGCGATGGAGGACGATGGGTTGGAGGTCCAGATCGAAACGGGACTGGGAAACCTCCAGGGTCTAAGAATTGGAAGTTGAGGCAGTAGGACTCGTGTCTTGGCCTCAGCGACCCAGACTGGGCTGAGGAGGGCGGCGGACAGTTAGGGTTAGGTGCAGTCGCCTGTGGCCGTCTTCTCTGCACCCTTTGACAACCCCTTTTCTCTCAGGGCTGGGGTGGGGTTTACCGTTTTGTGGAGCTCTGGAGTCAGGTGGACTTTGGCTTTCATCTTTTTTTTTTTTTTTTTTTGTCTTTTTGAGACAGGGTCTCGATATCCAGTTCAGGCCGGTCTTGAGCTCACTTTGGAGCCCAGGCTCGTCCTGAACTCGCAACGATCCTCCTGCCTCAGCCTCCCAAGTGCTGGGATTACAGGCGTGCACCACCACGCCCAGGCCAGAAGTGTCTGGAGGCAGGAGGGGTGTGGAGGATGAGGCGACAGAGAATGAACCCATATCCAGGGGTATTTTATTTATTTATTTTTGTCTTTTTTTCTTTTTTGAGACAGGATCTCACTATGTAGTGCAGGCTGGCTTTGAACTCACTTATGTAGCCCATAAGTGGGCTCAAACTCTGGGTGATCTTCCTACCTCAGCCTCCTGAGTGCTGGGATTACAGGTGTGCGCCACCACGCCTGGCTCAATTTATTCACTTAAAATGTATAATTCAGTAGTTTCCAGTGTGTTCACAGTTATGCGGCCACCCCCACTGTCAATTTGTTTGTTTGTTTGTTTGCAGTACTGGGAATTATTATTTTTGTTTTGTTTTGTTTTGTTTTCCGGTACCGGGAATCGAACTCACTACCTTGCACTTGCCAGGCAGGCGCTGTGCTGCTGAGCTAAGTCCCCAGCCCCATGTACTGGGAATTAAAACAAGGACTTCAGACTAAACTACCTCCCCATCCCTTTTCTATTTATTTATACATTCATTTATTTAGAGATAGGGACTTACCAGTTGCCATCACTCTTCGTTTTTGTTTTTTTGGGTTTTTTTTTTTTTGGTACTGGGAATTGAACTCAGGATCTTGCACTTGCCAGGCAGGTGCTTATGCCGCAGAGCTATATCCCCGGCATCTTCTTTGGTTTTTTGAGACAGGCTCTTGCTGTATAGCTCAGGCGGATGTCCAGCTTTTCATGATCCTCCTGCCTCAGCCTCCTGAGTGCCGGGATTATAGGTGTGCACCACCAGGCTTGGCATTGCCATCACTCTTTATTTTATTTTATTTTATTTTATTTTTTGCCGTCACTCTTTAAAACAAACTGGTACTATGTATGAATAGTCACTCCTCACTTCCTTCCATTCCCTCCCAGCCCCGGCCTTACACAGCCATTAATCCACCTTCCATCTCTGTGGATTGGCCTAATTTGCACAACTTCACTCAGACGCAGTCGTACGGTATGTGGCTTTGTGCATGCGATGAGCAAGAGCCAGTGCTGTCTCCCCCAAATGAGATGTGGTCTTTTGTGACTGGTTTCTTTCACTTAACATACAGTTTCGAGGTCCATCCATGTAGCACGTACCAGTACTTTTTCTCTTTTTGTGGCTGAATAATGTCTCATTGTATAAGATAGGGCACATTTCATTTCTCCATCAGTTGTTGGACTTCTTGGATTGTTTCCTCTTTTCACTGTTACACGCAGTACCCCAAAAAGGTGGGGTCTGGGAATGTAGTGTTAGACTGCTGGCCTAGCATGCACAAGACCCTGAGTTTAATCCCTAGTACAATAAAAAAACAAACAGCAAACATAAAACCAGTACCATTATCAAGCTGGGCATGATGGTGCATGCCTATAATCCCAGCATGCAGGAGGCTGAGGCAGGAGAATCACCAAGTTTGAGCCAGTGTGGGCTATATAGAGAGTTCTAGACCAGCCTGAACCACATAGCAAGACCTTGTTTCAAAAAACAAAAAACACATTATGTCTATCTAAAATGTACCAATAAAATCTAACTTAAAAAAAGTCCCAAAAGCAAATAGTACTGTTAACATTTGGGTATAATTTTTTGTCTTGTTTTATTTTTGTTTTTGCTTTTGGGTTACTAGGAATGGAACCCAGCGATGCTCTACCACTGAGCTACACACCCAACCCCCTTGTTTACGTTGTACTTTTAGGCAGTTTTTTTCTAAGTTGTCATGGCTGGCCTCAGACTTTCAGTCCTCCTGACTCAGCCTACCATGTAGCTGGGGTTACAGCCATGTGCTGTGGCACCGGCTGGGTGTACAAGTTTCTGCATGTACACATGTTCTCGTTCAATTAGAAGTGGAATTGCTGGGTCAAATGGTGACTACAGTGAATCTTTGGAGGAACTGCCAGATGGTTCCAAAGTGGCAACACCACCTCACATCCCCACCAGTGATACATGAGGATTCTAATTTTACCGTATTTTTACCAACACTTATTATCTGTTGATTTGGTTTTACTGTAGCTATCCTCGTAGGATGTGAACTGGTATCTCATTGTGGGTTTATTTTTGAGACCAGGAGTCACCGTATAGTTTAACCTGGTCTTCAATTAACTGTGTACACTCTGTAGCCCAGGCTGGCCTCAGACTCTCAGTGATCCTCCTGCCTCAGCCTCCCAAGCACTGGGATTACAGGTGTGCACCACTCTACCAAGCTCGTTGTATTTTTTATTACAATTCCTTAACGACTAATGGTACTAAACATCTTTCCATATGTTTACTGGCTATTTTTATATCTTCTTTGGAGAAAAGTCTGTTCCAATCCTTTGCTCATGTTTAAGCTAGATTGTTTTATTGTTGAATTATGAGTTTTTACATGGTGTAGATACATTCCCCCGCAGATGTCTGACTGTTGTGACTGCCACCTGTTTTTGTATCGCCTGCAGTGCTGGAGCTTGAACCCAGGGCCTTCATGATGAACCCACTCTCTATTGTTTTTTTTTTTTTTTTTTTTGAGAGAGTCTCACTAAGTTGCTAAAAACCCCAGGCTGTGCTCAAACTTGCAGTCCTCCTGCCTCAGCCTCCCAGAGTGCTGGGATTACCAAGGGTTTTGTTTGTTTGTTTGTGTTTAAACATTTTTAAGTAATTGAGTAAAGTCGAAAGAAGAATAAACGTGGCCTGTGGTAGTCATGTGTGATGCACAGCCGTGCCTGTTGGTTGCCTTTGTGTCCGGGCTGCTTTGACCCCACAAGGGCAGAGCCAGTTGCCACTGATGGGGGCCATATGGCTCACAAGGTTGAAAATAGTCATCATCCATCCCTTCATGGCAGTCCCTGCTGTGTCCTGGTACAAGGAAATTAAATCTGAAGTCTTGATTACGCCAGGCTCAGCCGTGTGCGGTGACTGCCTTTGTGCTGCAGCTTCTCCTCGGATCGCACCTGGCTGGCCCGCGTTCAAGGACAGCAGGATGGATTCGCGGCCTCAGGTGCCTTTAGCAACCGAGTGTCCCTTTCTCCCCCAGTCCGTATGTGGAGGCTCTGATTCCCGGCTGTATTTGGAGTAGGGCCTCTTTGGAAGGAATTAAGATTGAGTGAAGTCATAGGGTCAGGCCTTCAGCTGATGGAGTTGGTGTCCTTAGAAGAGAGAGACTCTCAGGGCTGGGCATAGTGGCATACACCAGTAATCCCACACTTGGGAGGCTGAGGCAGGAGGATCGTTAGGAGTTTGAGGCCAGCCTGTGCCTCACAGCCAGACCCTCTGTCATTCCCCTAAAAGGAGAAGGCAGCTCGAGAGCCTGGCTGCCTGAGTTCCATCCCGGCCTGGTGCTTTCAGCTGGGCATCCGGGTGCTTCATCTGGTGAAGTGGGGGTGATGCTGACAGGAGCTGGCATTGTGGTGGCTCCCACCCTGGCTGTCCCCCTGCAGTGCTGGTGGCAGCAGATGGCAGTGGTTCTGTGTTTTATTTTGAAGTTGGGCCTAGTGAGGAGACAGTACAGCAGGGTGGGTACAAGCTCAATTTCTGGAATTTTAAAATCCCAGCCCTGCCACCTGGCAGCCCCACAGCCGTTGGCAGAGATTCTCACACTTTTTGGTCTCAGGATCCAGAAACTCATGGGGGCCCCCAGAGGGCTTGGTTTATGTGAGGTACATCGATCCGTGTTGGCCGTATTAGAAATTGAAACCATAAGCAAAAAAAAAAAAAAAGAAAGAAAAAGAAAAGAAAAAAAGAAATTGAAACCGAGATCTCGAAAAAGTGGCTGGTGCAAGAGTGAGTGCCCTGGGGCTGGGGATTTAGCTCAGCGGTACAGCACTTGCCTGGCAAGCACAAGGTCCTGAGTTCGATCATCTCGGGGACAAGGTGACAGCCAAGGGGCAGAAGGGCCTTTCTGGGTAATGGAGTTGCTCCTTCCGCCTCCCAGGAATCCCAGCACTGTGAAGGCTGAGGCAGGAGGGTCGGATCGCCCCAAGTTTGAGGCCAGCCTGTGCTGCGTAGTGAGTTTGAGACCAGGAGTCAAGTTGGGAGAAAAAAAAAAAAAAGAGTGAGCACCCTGACCTTCACCACTGACACGTGTGGTCCCAGGGGCTTCGGTCTGCTCTCTGTGTTGTGTACCCATTGCCACTTTGTTCTAGAACATTACATCGCCCCAAAATAAACCCTGTGGCTAGCAGCAGACCCCACTCACTCCTCACCTGGTCCAGCCCGTGGCCCCTGAGCTACATTCCCAGCCTTTTAATTTTTTGTTTTGAAATGGGAGCTTGCTCAGTTGCCCAGGTTGGGCTTGAACTTGTGCTCTTCTTGCCTCAGTTTCCAGAGTGCTAGGATTACAGGTGTGCACCACCCTGCCCAATTTAAAAGACTTTTTATGGCCGGGCGTGGTGGCTCACGCCTGTAATCCCAGCACTCGGGAGGTTGAGGCAGGAGGATCATTGCGAGTTCGAGGTCAGCCTAGGCTACAAAGTGAGCTCAAGGCCAGCTTGAACTGCATAGCGAGACCGTGTCTCAAAAAGACCAAAAATAAATAAATAAATAAATAAATAAATAAATAAATAAATAAATAGACACGTTTGTGGGGAGAAGGGCAGGGTCTTGCTATGTACCCCAGGCTGACCTCAAACTTGTGGCGATCCTCCTGCCTCAGCCTCCCAAGTGCTGGAATTGCAGGCCTGTGCTACCACACCTGGCTAAAAGAGACCTTTACGGAAGCCCGGGACAGGGGCTTGGTATGTATGTCAGTGACAGAGAGCTTGCTCAACCTGTGCAAGGCCCTGGGTTTAATCCCCAACAGAGAAAAAGTAAAAAACACCCCAGCTGTATGTACACACACAGATCCGAACCATAAGATCTCACAGGTCACCCAGCCTCTGGAGAAGCCATCAGACACTCTGGAGCATCTCAGGGACCAGCGGTCCCTGGGCCTGGCTGTGAGCCACTGCCCTAGGCAGGTGGCTTCCCTGCAAGCCGCAGGTGGGCCCACACGAAGCTGGGAGGTTCCGGGGTCGTGAGGGTCGGGCTCCTAAACTTGCCACGCCATCAATCCAGTGGTGATCCTGTGGTCATTCTCATTAGCCTGGCAACATTTAAAAATGCTCCCTCTAGCTGTCCCCTCTCAGGAGACATTTCTCACCTCACGGAGCTCAGGTCTTGGCCACGCCGGCGGCTGGCCTCTGGGAAAGCAGAGGTTTCCGATGCCAAATGCCGCAGGGTCAGGGCAGTTGACAGCTAAGAATAGAGTCGGGAATTTGTCCCTGAGGCCAGCACGACCTTCCTGAGTGGCGCGGTGGGGGTGGGGAGGGCTGGGGAGCGGGTGGCACGTGGGCTGGGGGGGCAACAGGTGCGGATGCTTACTCCAGAGGCCAAGGGCTGGGAACTCAGCGGAGGGGGCCAGGGGTCAGGGGACCAGGAGTCAAGTTGGGGTGCGTCAAGGTCACTTTTGCAAGCAGTGCTCTGATCATCTCGGGGACAAGGTGACAGCCAAGGGGCAGAAGGGCCTTTCTGGGTAATGGCGTTGCTCCTTCCGCCGCCCAGGAATCCCAGCACTGTGAAGGCTGAGGCAGGAGGGTCGGATCGCCCCAAGTTTGAGGCCAGCCTGTGCTGCGTAGTGAGTTTGAGGCCGGCTGCATGGGGAGACCCTGTCTCAAAAAAAAAAATTGGCTTCTGAGCAGAAGACACCAGTAGGGGGAGCGAGAGCTCTGTAGCGCAGAGGTCGTGTGTGGGTTTTGAATGAGAAAGGCGAATGTTTTGAAGCGGCCAGAAGAGGGCGATAAGGAGAAAGCTGCTTTTTACCTCCGTGGAGCTCTTGGAGTGCTGGACGCCCCGGCTTCTGGACTTCTTCCGGAGGCTCCTGTATTCCAGCTCTGAGCAGCTCACAGGTTATCCTTACAGCGCTGTGGTCCAGAGATCTAGGACCTGTGTTGATACCTTTTTTCACCAAGTGAGACTGAGGCTCAAAAAACGAAGTCACCAGCCGGAAGCCGGCAGAGGGTCCGCGGCAGAATCCTCCACAAACTGATCCAACAACTCCCGCCTTGGTTCATGGGTTGATTCCTGTGTTTCTGTCTCTTCTAATGTGTAGCCTTTTGTTTGAAGCTGCTCTCAAAAGTGGCTCATTGTAGCACACCCTGGTGTGCTCCTGTAATCCTAACGCTCTGGGAGGCTGAGGCAGGACAATCACAAGTTTCAGCCCAGAGTAGGCAGTTTAGTGCCTTAGGCAGACACTGTCTCAAAATTTAAAAATAAAAGGCTGTGGATGTGGCTCAGTGCGAGGGCCCTGGGTTTGGTCCCCAGTACTCTGGCAAAAGATCAAAATGAGATGTTTTCTTTTTTTGCGGGGAGGGACTGGGAATCGAACTCAGGACCTTGCACTTGCCAGGCCGGCGCTTGTGCCACTGAGCTATATTCCCAGCCCCCAAAATGAGATGTTTTCATTTTGTGTGGTCACAGATTTGAGATTTGTGTTGAGTTCTGGTTTCTTCACCCACCCAGCTCGAAGTGGCTGAGCTTCCCCCAGGACGCCAGTTCAGCTCACAGCCTTTACATTGCCTGTCCCCAGGGAGGAGCTGGGTGTCAAGGACACCCCTCCAGAACGGCAGTGTCTGCTCCTCAGGGCTCCTCCCCCGGGCCAAGAGGTTGGATAGCACTGCCCTGCAGCCCCCCGTGTCCCCTCAGGGGCTTGCTGGCTTTTGCACATCTTCTGCTTCTTCCCATCCCTCACTCACTTTTCCATTGAGGAAACTGTTCTCTTTCTTGTTGATCTGCTGCAGTTTCATGTACAGTGAGTTTTGCTATGAAGCTTGTTTTTTAGGATTTTTTTTTGGTGTGTGTTTTGTTTGTGTTTTGAGACAGGGTCACAGTATGTCGTGTTCAGGCTGGCCTTGAACTCACAGTGATCCTCCTATCTCTTTTTATTTTGGTCTTTTTGGAACAGGGTCTCGCTATGCAGTTCAGGCTGGCCTTGAGCTCACTTTGTAGCCCAGGCTGGCCTCGAACTCACAACGATCCTCCTGCCTCAGCCTCCCGAGTGCTGGGATTACAGGCGTGCAACCCCCACACCCGCTTCCTGCATGTTGCCTTCAGCATCACTGACAGTTTCTGGGTGCCGTGCGTGCCCCATTTTCTCTGTAATCTCTGTCGTTCCCTCTGAGTTCTCAGCGACTGTGATTTTAGGATGGAAGCCTCACGGCAGGGCTGCCTTGGGATGTCTCAGGTGCCTGCCCCAGCTCCACATACTCCGGAGCCTCATGTGCAAGGTGCCTCACCGGCCTGGCTCAGCTCAGGGGTACGGGGAACCCCGTGCACAGCGGGAGGACAGGGCTCCTAGGCTTGGGGATGTGTCAGCCTCTACTCTGCTTAGAGAGCAAGGGCAGATTCGAAGGGTAAATCCATGCACCTTGAGCCAGTGGTTCCACTCTTAATCATTTATCTTAGGGCTGGGGCCACAGCTCCGTGGGAAAGCGCTTGCCTAGTGTGCCGGAAGTCCTGGCTTCCACCCCAGCACCACAAAGACAAAAGAATAATTTACCCTAGCAGTTTACCTCAGCACTCTGGAGGCTGAGGCAGGAGGATCACAATTGCCCAGCCTTGGCAATCTGGTGACTTAGCCAGACCCTGTCTCAAACTAAAACCGAAAAAATGGGCTGGTAGCTCAGTGCCAAGAGCCTGGGTTCCGTCCTCAGGACTGCAAAAGAACAACAGAGAATTTATCCACGCACCCTTGGACTCTTGGAAGGGCGCAGCGGGCTCATGTGGCCCCGGGGCTGCCTCTCTGGAACCGGTGCACGGAAGCGCAGAGTGCAGAAGGGCACCGCCCGGTGGGTCCTCAGAGTAAACACACCCGTCAGCCGCACCCAGATTCCAATAAGGGGGGGGGGGGCTCCCTGCCTCTGCCGCCTGCACAGGAAGCCTGGCTTCGAGGCTGTGGTGACTTTGGTGAGCTGTTGAACTTTATACACATGGAGACAGCTCCACCCACCAGGTGCTTGGTGTGACAGCAGGGTGTTCTGTGTCGTTGCCAGGCGTACACATTGCGAACCTGTGCCCAGGTGTGTTTATCTGTTCCATGTGTATTTGGGGGGCGTCCAGTTTGCTTTTGTTGTTTTGTTGAGACGGGCTTGCTAGGTAACCCAGGCTGGCCTTGAACTCGCAGCGATCCCCCAGCCTCAGCTCCTGGGTGCGGGATCCCAGGTGTGCGGCACCTCGCCTGGCGAGGGTGGTTGCCAGTTTACCCGTTTACAGTGTGCTGTAGCGCGTGTCCTGAGGTGCTCAGAGCCCCTCCCCGCCCCAGGGACAGAGAGGAGAAGAATTGCCGCCATGGGGCTGGCGGTGGCACCGCAGCACACACCGTCAGTTCGTCTCCATGGTGACCGTGCCAGGCCACTAACACACACCACCCCACCTCGCCGAGCATCACAGCACCCCCCCTCACGGATGGCATACTCCCCCAGGCTCTGCGAAACTGCACTGTCCGCGTGTGACAGAAGGAGTGCCAGCGGAAAGTAAGGACTTAGGCTTGTGATGGTCCTTAGTGCTGCCCTTAAGGGCCCCAGGGTCACACTGGAGAACCACCCATCTATCGGAATGCTTGACGCAGATTGTGTAAGAAAGGTCTGGGGATGTAGCTCATAGCCAAGGCCCCGGGTTCAAACTCCCAATACTTTAAAAACAAAACAAAACAAAATGGTAGCACAGGGGGAAGTGCGAGGGAAATGCAGGTTGAAGACTGAGCTGTGAAGTGACTTCCTCCTGGGCTGAGGCTCTGCGGCGAGTGCTTGCCTCATCCGCAGGAGGCCCAGGATCCCAGCCCCCGGCTGCTGAGTGCTTCTTGCACTTTTCAAGTGGATAATGGCAGGTCTCAAATCATAGGGTGTTTAGATTCCACCAACTACTGTTTGTAACACAGCATAACAGCGCTATTTTAGAAGGATAAGATTTACATTGTGCAAAAAGTGTATCCTTTGTGACTAAGCTTAGGGGGAGAGGCTTTAGGTGGTAATTTAAAAACAGGTGAGACGGGAGGATAATTTGATGAAATGCTTTGAAGGGTCATGAAGCATGCAGGCTGCCGGGCTAGTCACCAGGGAGACTTGGGGAAGCCTGCCCGGCCTCCACAGTGAGTCTGAGCCAGAGGATCGCAAGGGATCGCAAGTTCGAGCCCAGCCTGGACACCCTGGCCAGAGCTTGTGTCACAAAGTGAAAAGGGCAGGGTGTGTGGCTCAGTGTGAAGACCCTGGGTTCAAGCCCCAGGACCACAAAAAATAAAATAAAATAAATGGCACAGCTGCCGCTTTGGCCACCCCCCAGCAACTCTTTGTTTTGTTGTCAAGGGCTGCAGTTGGGCTCATTCAGCAAAGTCCCGAGGAGAAGCGCAACCCGAGGACGAGAGTGGCCTCCCGCGCCCGGCTCTGGTCCCCACAGCCTCCGGCGCCCCTCCCGCCCTGCGATGACGCGGCACGGCAAGAACTGCACGGCGGGCGCCGTGTACACCTATCACGAGAAGAAGAAGGACACAGGTACTGTGCCGGATGACACGTGTCCCCGAGGGGGACCGAGACCTGGGGCACTGCATACACTGGAGCTTGCTCAGAAGCGGAGAGCCAGCAGGCGTCAGCCATGAACTCTGCCAAGCTCCCCTTGCTGCCGGGGCCTATGCGTCACTCTCCCTGGGAGTCCACAGTTTCCTATAGGTCGCAGGGCTCTTGACTAATTGATTGACTGACTGACGGGGGGAGGGTGAGAGTCTTGCTACATAGTCCAGGTTGGCCTTCAACTCACTGTGTAGTCCCATGTGGCCTTCAGCCCACAGAATCCTTCTGCCTCAGCCTTCCCAGTGCTAGAATTACAGGCCTGTGCCACCTCCCTCTCTCTTGGCCCTGTCCATCACTACCCATCTCTGTCCCCAGCGGCCTCGGGTTACGGGACCCAAAACATCCGCCTGAGCCGTGACGCAGTGAAGGACTTCGACTGCTGCTGCCTCTCTCTGCAGCCCTGCCACGACCCTGTCGTCACGTGAGGCGCTGGGGACGGGATGGAAGCCGGGTGAAGGGGCTGCGGGTATCGGTCTGGCCAGGCGGCCTCTGTGTTCTGTGGCTCACGGACATTTCCTGTCCCACTCTCGTGGCATGGCGAAGAGCATGCCATGTTCATAGCGGGGTGCAGGGCCCTGGGGACCTCGTCTGTGATCCCGGTGCGCCTGGGGCAATGGTCCTCCCGCCTCACACTCCCCAGTGCTGGGGTCACAGGTGTGCGATGTGTGTGCCTAGTCAGGCGTGCTTCTCCTCCACCTCTCCCTGCAGCCCAGATGGCTACCTGTACGAGCGTGAGGCCATCCTGGAGTACATCCTGCACCAGAAGAGAGAGATTGCCCGGCAAATGAAGGTGACGGACAGGGAAGGGGCGCGGGTGGCCCGGTCTGGGCTCTGAGCTCCAGGAAGAGCCGCTGGGGACCCCGTCGCGGTTTCTTTCCCTGGGGCCTTCTGCCGTGCTGTTCCTCTGCCCAGTGCGTGTCCCCTCTTGCTCGCCGCCTTTCAGCCCAGGTGTCGCCTGCTGTTACCTCCCGCGGGCTTCTAGGGTCTGCCCTTGTCGCTTCTCGGCCTTTTGGCTAAGATCAAGTGTTCTGGGGTCTGCCCTGGGCACTTCTCCTGTCACAGCTGTGAGCCTGCATGTGCTGTGTCATTTACGACGGTGTTCCCCCAGACAGCAGGCCCCAGAGGCAGCGAGCACCCCGCCCTAGGTACCCGGCAGCCTTGCCAAGCGCGCGCGCCTGGCCTCCTCGGTCTCAGTGTCTGTGAGGCAGGCTGGCGGGGCAGCTTGGAGCATGCGCGGGCCGAGTGGGAGTGGGGCTCCGAGCAGTGTCGGGCTGGCCTCCCCAGACACGCTTGGAAGATGCAGGCCTCTCATCCCGTGTCTGAGGCGCACTGGGCTGAGCCTTCCCATGGCTGCCTGGTTTTCCAGGGATCAGGAAATGGGGTTGTAGGCATCCTACCCGTGGCCTGGGGTGTGCTAACAGCTCTGCCAGGGAGCCACCCTCCGCCCCCTTGTTGAGCTGTTGACCCCGAGGCGGCCCAAGTGCCCCTGTGTTCCCATCATCTCTGAGTCCGGGGCAGGAGGATTGAGTATTTGAGGCCAGCCTGGGCTACAGAGTGAGACCCTGTTCTTCAAAACTCTTTTTTCCTGTGGCTAACCCTTCCGGGGAACCCCCGAGCAGGCTGCATCTGAGCCTGTTTGGGAGAGACGGTCTGCGGGGCCCATCACACCGGTTGGGGAGTGCCACCCTGGGCCAGTCAGGCCTGTGCCAGAGCAGCGGCGCCTGAGCGGCCTCAGCTTCCCCGCGGTTTCCGCCCCGCAGGCCTACGAGAAGCAGCGCGGCGCGCGGCGCGAGGAGCAGAAGCAGCTGCAGCGGGCGGCGGCGCAGGACCAGGTGCGCGGCTTCCTGGAGAAGGAGGCGGCCATCGTGAGCCGCCCG